GGGGGTGAGAGGGGATTAGGGAGGAAGAGCGGTGGGGGGGGGAGACAAGTTTAGGGGGGAAAACAGTGGGTAGCAACGAAAGCAATTATAATGGCTGACCAATCGTCAACTTCTTAACAATCCGTGATTTCAAACTCAAGACAAAAATATGTAAATTTCAGTTTTACCTCCTCTTCAATGGCTGCCATTTTTGATGATCATCCACTAGATCTGTCATAATGAGAAAATTCAAGGCAGTTAAAAAAACTTAGGGGGAGGAGGAGTTATTTCAGAAGCCCCATTCTGTGTCAGGTCATTAGATCTGTTTACGTCGATGAAGGTTAGACATCCAGGTAATACGATACGGCAAAAAACAGTTACTCAAGCAACTGGATATGATTTTGAAAACGTCAGACGTTTCAGCTAGTATCCACTAGCTTTCGTCAGTGACTGAGAGACCAGAGGGGAAATGCAGGTTTATAAGCACAACCTATTGATTGATATGCAAATAAGGTGAAGACAAATTTTTGGAAGTCGAAAAAGGAACAAAAGTCAGACAAGTCAAGACAAGATAATGCAAATTAGTCAGAAAGCTCCTGTTATACAGAACAGGAGCTTAAGTGTTGTCTGTCCTCAGGGCTGAGAGTGCCAAAAATCAAGTGCCGGAAAGATCGACCCGTAGCCCCGGGGCCCCTTCCCTGTTGAGGGTGGGGTTGTACATTCTTTGCTTGGAGATTATCGGATCCAGCAAAAATACACATTTATATGAGGATCAAAGTTAAGTGAAAATATCCTTTGTAACGTGAAAGTAACGTTTAGCCTTAAATCAAATTGGCAGTACACTGTCGGTACCAATTCCACTGTTTGTAACCACTTTCGGATCTAGAATACTAGTATGCCTTTGGTCTGAACCCTGACATGCCCTGAAGGCCCAGAAAGTGAAAGTTGGAGTAATGGGTCTGATATCTGTCTGTATCTGTATCTGTATAGCCGGTATAACCGCCTTTCGGCGTAACACACCAGCTTCGCAGGCACGCGGCGCGGCGGCAGCTGGCTATATTACACCGATCGACTTGTTACACCTAACCCTTGAACTTCTAGCTCTAGACATTGTTTAAAGCTATCTATTGACAGTGCCCCTACTGTACTTGGTGACAGTGAGTTCCACTCTGCGATAGTTCTAGGAAAGAATGAATTCTTGAACACCTCAATCCTTGGTTGATAACTCTGATACTTGAATGCGTGGCTATTTCTTGTTCTCTTCTGAGCTGGTATTAGGTACTTAGTAGTTGGGACATCCACCAGATATAAACATTACCATAACGTTAATCATATGACATGAATAATAAAGGCACTGCATTTCTAGCTTCTTAGAGTAAATCACCGATTGTCTCGACCAAGGCAAGGAGGCTTAATATTAAAATAAACCTGCCCAAGGACAATATATAATGTCCTTGACCTGACAGACTCACCTGGTCTCACCTGGTCAAGTATGCAGTACCGTTACATGCTACAGCTGTTGTTGTTGTTGTCCTTGTTTAACGTCTAATATATCGCTAGACGTGGTCACTTGGTGCTCATGCTGGACATGTATGCATGACAACATCCACGTACAGCAAGAGCATCCTAGCGAGGTCATCTACCTGGGCTATCACATTATATGAAGGGAGGTTATACACTTAATAAAAAATGAGGATTAAACAATGAGAGAATAATTAGTTTAAGCTATTAGTAAACAAATAGATATAAGTAATTATTGAAGAAAAAGGTAGGTTTTGACACTAATTATGCTCTAATCTTGCATCTATTATGCTCTGATTTTTTACACAATCTAATGGTAATCCCCATTCTAAATGGTAAAGTCTTTCCCCATTTTTAAGATGGCGGCTGATTTGAATCCTCCGGAGGCGTTCTCTCTTCCAAAACAACCTAAGAAAGGTAACATTACCAGTATGTCAGGGCGCCTATCTTAATTGAAACAATGTAGCAACTGATGAACGACTTCAGAGTTATGTTTAAGTGACTATATAGCTTCCTGTAAAGGATGTTGAGATGCTAACGTGAAGGGTTTGGGGAGGGGGGCGGTAAACTAAGAGTTCACGCGAATCATGCCGTTTTACTTCACATGTAACATACTAGTAACCATGTAACGTCAACTTTTGTTTCCGTTTCTAACTACTCGTATATAAGCTTCTCAAACTACTTAACATACTTCCAACGTCTCGCAATAGTGATTACTAGTACAAACTAGTACCTAAAAAATAAATTTGTTTGCCCCAGGTGGCATGGATGCTCCCCAGCTTGTTCCTCCATCTCACTTTGAGACGCCTCCAGCGGAGGACCCCTGGACACAAGTCAGGAAGTTAACCAGGGACGTACTGGACCTCCGGACAGAGAACCAACAACTCAGGTTGGACTTCCTGAGGATAATGCCCTTCGGTCTAGACTCTCTAAAAGACATGTACAGCCAAACTGTTTATTACTCCGAAGTTTTCTTATTTTTACAATTTTTTCAGATCTTCTGACATGCAGTTGTGTAATGTTGAGTTGATTTTTTTCTATACAGACAAGCAAGAACTGCTGTAATACCAACTGGAGAGGTATGTATAAACATTATCAATCCAGTTATGAGATATAGAGTAGTAGGCTAACTTCTCTTGGCAATGATTGAAGCTAGTAACTTACATAATGTGTACAACTGTATTTTCATGATTTTGCGCTGAAATCAGAATACACTTTAATTTATGTCTATTATCTGTCTGTACTTACTATTCAGCCATGCATCAAAGGATTCCAATTCATACTTGCCATATTGCTGTTTGTCCCCAGGAAATCAGAGCCAGGGTTGACTTACACAAATCTGGGAATGGGGAAACAACCAGGCACCTGCAAGGGATCATAGACAAACAGATTAATGACATTGGTAGGTAATTTTTCTATGTTTGAAGCTTATTATGATTCTGTTATTTTGATTCTGTCCAATAATTTGTTTGTTGGTCTTCTTGCTACTGTAGCATCCTTCTAGGAGTGACAAACAGTATGTTAATATTCTTTTTTGAAAGTTGTATCTATGATTGTATGTACAAATAAATGTAAAAATCTTGAATGAAACTAAGTGAAAAGTTTTGGTTCGCATATGTAGTTCACCTAAAGGCAGAGCTGACAGCGTTGAAGGCAGAACACAGTAGAGAAGTGCAGGTGCTGCAGCAGCAGGTGTCAGCTAAGGACAGACAGCTGGAGGATGCAGCTGTACAGGCCAGGAGGAGACTGGAGGAAGCACAGAGGAAACACCAAGATGAGGTACTGTGCATGCTTGTCTTATATGTCACTAAGTGATCTACTGCTATCCGAAATCGATAGTGGTACATGTACTAGCTATTAAAAAAGTGTAACCTTTATTTATTGTGTGGATTTTCCCTATTGCTTCATAACTGGCAGATACAGTTGCAGCATTCTGTGTTTTCTGTACATGTGTATGAAAACAGAATAAGGTCAATGTTATACATATATGTACCACATCCCTGTATAAAAGTCTGGAAAGATGAATCAAACTCTGGCTATGGCTTCTCTATTAGGGGAGTGTTGCAATCACTGATTCATGTGTTACACAGGAGAAGATAATGATGTGATCTAGTATTTTCAGAACATCCAACACAGAAACAGATATTGATCTTAACTATTTTCATAGTTGCACAAGATCAAGGTAGCCCATGAAGAAGAAGTCAGAGGAGCCACATCATCACTATCCAGTCTACAGAAACGGCTGGAAGAGAACAGGAATGACTATGAGCAGAGGCTGGCTGAGCTGGAAGACCAGATATACAGGTCTACCCTGGAGAAGGAAGAACTTCAGGAGAAAGTCAGGTACAATTAATACAAGAATTCAGTGTTCATTTTCACCATACTGCAGATATTATTAGTTGTGTCTAAAATTGATGATTTTTGGTTATATGTTGTTTGTCTTGGACTCCTTGTAACAGGTTGCTAGCATATTTAGGGAGAAAATTTCAGATATAAGACTAATACTTGAGAATAACATAGTATTTTATTCTAACAGGACCACAGCAGAGGAGCTACAGTCCTCCAAAAGCCTGGTGTCCCAGCTCAGGGCTCATCTCACACAGATGGAGACAGACAGACAGGCAGCAGAACAGTGGAAACAGGAGAGGGGGGAGAGACTCAAGAAGATACAGGTACGTACTGGGATGAGTAGGACATGGACAACAACAAAAAAATAAAATACAAGTACCATAAAAGTGGAATGCTACATCATGAAAATTCTATATTTTTACAGCTGCATTGAATGCAGTGATGGTTAACCAATAATGTCATAAAAGATATCATAAAACCATGCATGACAAAAAGTAATGGTGATAATTAAAAAAGAGCTATTTATGTATAAATTGTAACCTATAAAAACTGAATGTTCATTATCTCTATATGCAATGCAGGATCTGGAAGTACAGGTTGAGAACTTACGATCTACTGAACAGTTGCTGAATGTGAGACTAGCTTCCTTCACAGACATCCTCAGCATACAAGAGGCAGACATTACAAAGGTATTTTTCTTTCACCATAGATTAGAAGGTATAGAAGGTTCAAGGACATGTATTATATTTCATTTGAGTAATTCATAAACTTTAATGCATTTCTGTGAGTGTTAATATCATAGGAATTCAATGATTATTTATACATATATATCTAGACATGTATACATTCTTCTCTTCTACTTATAAAAGACTTGTGCATAAACCATATACATGTACTGTGTGATTTTTCCCCCATCCAGAGTAAGTCAGATGGTAGTGACATGAAGAAGAGAATGAACAGCCTGCTGACCCGCTGGAGGGAGAAGGTGTTTGCCCTGATGGTACAGCTCATGTTACAGGAGATAGTGCACAAGAAGGACATCGCCAACTACAAACAGAAGGTAGTCTAGTTTTATGTCGATTTCGGTAAAAAGCTTTAATAGTCAAATTTTGTGCTGTAAAATGAAGAAAACATTGCCATTGGGCATTGTAAAGTGTCGGCCTCCATAAATTTTGTGGCCACAGTTTTGCCCAGATGTGCCCTGCAAACAACATATCTTGCTTCTAAACGCAGGTACTAGTGCAGTGCTCGCTACAAAATTTTGTGGTAAAGATGCCCCATTTTCCATTGGGAAATGTTCACTGAGAAGATCCCTTTCGTATTTTGTATATGCCCTGAACCTACAGTTGTAAACCTCTGGACTTGAATCCGAACCTGGACCTGAACGTGGGTTTAGGTACACAGCACTACATGTACATGTACTCAATATCTTGTTTGTCAGGTTGCAGATCTGGAGGACCAGTTGAACAGCAGCACCAGTCACAGCGAGGTGCTGTCCCACATGCTGGCCGACAGGACAGCCGAGCTACAGATGGAGAGGTCACGAGTACAGACCCTTCAGGCCGAGGTCACCTCCACCCAGGACACGGCGGTCAGCCTCCAGGACAAACTGGACGCACAAGTGGCTGCTAACGGTCAGCTGGCTGACCTCACTAAAAGGTGATTTCTCACATTGTGTATGTCATATATATTGCAAAAAAAATTTTCATGAATAATGCTAGAAAAATATCACTGGTTTGACTGTCAGTGATTTGATGACAGCAACAGAGTTACAGTATTTCTATCAGGATGTTACTACTAACCTGCTGTTCTATCCCTGGCAGGACATTTGAGGCATTTGCAGCCCTGGAGGAGAAGTTACAGGCTGGAGGCTCCAGATTGACCAGTTTTTCTCAGAGACTGAACTTTGCCGTAGGAAGACTAGACATGCTTCAAGGTATGATTATAATTCAATGTTTTGAAAAACAGATTTGACCTCTCTTGATTCTTGAGATTTTCAGCTTACCAGTATTACACCATTACAATTTTACAAAATTTCAGCCAACCGATGGTTGTGGTTTTTTCTTTTCTGCCAGGCTTGTTTGCACGTAGAGATGCCATGTGGAGAATGAAATTAGAGGAATCAACCAATCAGAGCAAAGAAGAGGAGGATCAGCCAGAACAAGAGCATAATGGGTAAGGTTACCTATAAAAAATTCATATGAGCAGTTCAACTGACTTGTTAACTTACTAATAGAAACAATCTTTGAAGATTGAATGGTTGAGAACACAGTGCATAAGTGTTACTGTGTTGTGGCAGGATGCATCCCTCCCAGCTGCAAGAGGAGCTGGACAGAGTGAGGAAGGAGAGGGACCAACTGGCCAATCAGATGAGAGAAGACTCACAGTTACTGGACCAGAGGATGGCAGCAAACAGACAAAAACGTAAGACTGTAACACTGGCTGGCCAGGTACTATACATTTGTATAAACTATAGCAATAATTATATTCACATTTTAGTATATTGAGTTGATTAACAACATGTCTTTTCAAAGGCTCCATTTCTATGATGAAGTACATTGTACTTATTGAAGCCCATTTTGAGAGCAGGTGAAACCTCACTGAGAGTAAAACTGTGTAAGTTGTACTTGTAACCTGCCATGTGTTTCTCTAGTTGAAGGCCAGCTGAAGGAGCAGCAGGAGACAATAGTGCAGCTACACAAACTGATGGAAGAGAAATCACAGGTGATAGTCATTTCCCCTCTTTCCTTATTAAGGATAACTAACACCTTGGCAATGTCATTTTTACTAGCATTCATTCTGGTGTCTCCTGTTAAAGTGCTTCCATTCTGTTACCCTATAAGAAAATGAAAGACATACAACCCATTATCTGCTTAAAAAATCTTCATTCTAAATATGGGATTCTATAAAAAGCTGTACACATGAGGTAAGAAGACTTGAGATAATTTTTTTGTTAGTGTGTAAACAATGTCATCAATTCTTTTGCTACAGAAATGCCAGTCCCTGGGTACTCAGCTGTCACAACTGGAGGATGACATCCAGGAGGCCAACCAGACTATAGATGGTCTGAAAACGGAGCTGGCTAAACAACAGATAGAGGCTGAAAAAGGTGGGATGTGCTCAATTATCTATGCATAAAAGTGGTTTACAAGTAGGTAAAGCTCATGATTGAGCAGCATTCATGATTAAAAATGTAGTCCCATAGCCTTTTTCAGGGCATAGTGGCAGTTGGTTATGGGTATTGGAAGGCAGAGCCCATCCCTCTCCTTCTACTGCCTTCTGCCTCCCCAACTGAAGTCTGGTACCCATTTAACCTTGGGAGGAGTGAGGATTTTGTCACGTAAAGTGCATTTCCGAAAGATGCAACATCTTGCGAGGGATGCTAGAGATTGAACCTGTCACCTCTCGGTCTTGTGTCTTCTAGCCTAACCACTTGGCCATTCATGTCTCCAATTCATGGTTACCTTGGGTAAACTATTGATTTCTAAGTTTGGACAGTAAAGTTTGGACAATAAACCGTTTGTACATTACAGACAGAATTTCCATGAGTCTGTTGTCTCCCCTCTCAGCTGTAGAAGACAGAGGTAAGGAGGTCCAGGCAGGCCTGGTGGACCAGCTGGCTGAGATGGAGAGGAAGGTGAATGATGCCAGGAGAGAGCACACTAAAGCAGGTAACTACTCTACTACAGTGGTTCAATATTAGATTATTAGCCAGTATAATTGCCCTTTGACGTAACCACCAGCTTCGCAGGCACACGGTGCGGTGGCAGTTGGCAGCTGGCTACATTACAACTTGTTACACCTAACCCTTGAAAATCTAGCTCTAAACTTGTACTTGGTGACAGCGAGTTCCAGTCTGCGATAGTTCTAGGAAATGAGTTTTTGAACACCTCAATCCTTGGTTGATAACTCTGGTACTTTTAACGTGCTATACCGGGTAGGTACATTTTGTCTATTATGTTTGTTGTACCAGTTGTGCAGCTTCGCCAGGCTGAGCGCCAGGCCGGTAGGGAGAAGGAGCGGGGACAGCAGCAGCTGCACCTGCAGGAACAGCACTACCAGAGACAGCTGCACAAGCTGCAGGAACAGCTGCGCGAGGTGGACAGGGACAGGAACATGCTCATGGTCAGCCAGCAGTTAGTTTCAGTTGCATTTTTCAGTTGATCTTGTCGACTTTCATCAGATGAATGATCCGACACACTTTCGTTTCACTCCTGACGTCATCACGCTTGCAAATTCAATTACTATAGTAATTCACAGATCTACTGAAAATGTACATTGTGTAATTGTAAACAAGGACAGTATGTAATCTTCTTTGTTTATTATGGAAAAATGAGTGTATCTTTTTCCCGGCACTTGTAGTGATGTAGACTGCATTTATACCAATGTTTTTAAGAGTGTTTGTCTGTAATCCACTTGTAGGCGACTCTGAGACAAGAGGGCCTGATTGGTCAATACAAGCAGCACAGAGCAGCAGCAGCTAAGGCTGTGGCAGACACACAACCACAGGGAACTGAACACACCACTGGGCCTGGGACTGTCAGCAAGCAGCAACCTACAGGTACATGTTTAAGACTGCAAGTGGTGCTGTGTACCCGTTCACTGGAACAAGTTCTGTACTAAAAATGTTCATGTTCAAGTAAAAAAAATACTGAATGTCTGGAACTAGTAAATCTTACAAGTCCAGACCTGAACATGGGTTTAGGTACACAGCAATACCGTCAAGTTTTGATGTTTTCAACCCATTCATTTCAGAGAGTGTTTTAAAAATGTTATCTTGATTTTGCAGCTTCAGAACCTTTGAGCTCTGTAGTTGAGGACCTGCGTTCACTGACTGCAACAGTTCTGGGAGAGGGGGGAGACACGGATAGCAGCGAGGACTGAACATCAGCTACAGGGAAACTCTTTACAAATTTGCTAATAGTCATTTCATTAACAAAAGTCATAGCAGTGAGCGCTTAGCTTTTGTTACCAAATAGCTTATATGTATCTGATGCTATCTGACAAAAGAAAATAAAATGTATTTAGATAATAAATCCAGTACTGCAGAAATTATATGACGCTATATGTGACATAAAATAAAGTTTCTAACCACTGACCATTGGATTTGTGTTTCGTGCGTGTTTACTTCAATGGAAAGTGCAGCATTTGTCAATTAAACTTTATTTTTGAACATTTTTGTCATTCTTTTGTTTTACACAGCTTTGTAACAACAACACCTTATGCCTACATGTATTTTTTTATCGCTGTTGCACTTGATCTAAAAGGAATATCTTCAGCTAAGTTTCACAACCTTGTGGCTGTATAAATACATGTACACATGTTTTTGAAATGTGCCATAAATACGCCAGAAAACAGTATCATCTAACAAATCACTTTGGCTTCTGGCATATCACCATATTTGCGGATTTGGCTTCTTTTCACTTTTCATTTGACCCTGTCTATTGGAGACTACAACTGCTTGCTATGTCATATTACTGGTAGTTAAGTTATTGCTTACTAAGTGTATGTGTATCCATTACTACATGTAGGTGTTTCCATATTTGGTTTATCTGACTTACTTGAAGAAATAATACAAACAAATGTACATCTGAACCATACAAGGCAGGCTTCCAAACCCACAGTCCTGCATGGCTACTGAGTTTAACTCAAGCTTCTGCCAAAGGTATGGGAAGGCATATATACCAGTAGGAAGGCATATATACCAGTATGCAGTATTCCATGTTAAAACATGCTAGAAGACTTCGAATGAGCTGCTATTACTGAAAGTGGCATCTGTTGCTTCTTTCAGGTACTTATACATGTATATCTATGAAGCCATAAGGGGGAGGAGTGTTTCTGTGCTGTGATGCAAATGTCAGTTCAACTTACTCTCCACCAGACCACGGGTTCAAAACTAAAACATAGCCAAATAGGGGGAATAATTCCAGGGGAGTTTGGTCACTAGAGTTCATTGGATCTTCCCACAAACTGACTCTCTTGGCCAATTATCTCCCTTTTTTGCAAAATTCTATTATCCTTACCCCCGTAGGAAGGCCTGGTGGAGGCAACATTTAACTGTGAGTGTTTAAGAGCCATCCTGTCTACCCCTGTTAAGCAGATTCAAGAGCCCATATGAAGGCCTGGTGGAGGCTAAGTTTAACTGTGAGTGATTAAGAGCCATCCTATCTACATCTGTTCTGCATGTGCAATCTCCTCTCCGAGAGTTTCCAGGATCTCCGTTCTGTAGTCATCAAAGTCTCCCTCGATCTGGTTGATGGTCTTGTCCTCCACCACCCACAGGGTGCACTCTGTTTCTCTGATCAGTCGCTCGTCGTGACTCACTATAATAACACCTAACACATGGAAAAGATGCATAAACTTGTAATACATTACCGGCACGATGGGCGACTTTTATCCTACCGTAGCATTTTACATGCATTTGAATAATTCTTCAAAAATTTTGGTCATTGTCAGACAGCATGATTATCTCTTAAATCCCAATAATTATGTTTACCGAAGGAATACATGTTGTTTTTGCTCAGTTTCTTCTTCTCCAAACAGTGACCTCTGACCTGGTCAATGACAGGAATAGACCATCTCTCACCATAGTAACTGGTGTTGGGTTACATAATGTTGGAATTCTATAGTAGGAGGGATTTACACTCCTGTCACCATATATGTGAATGTGTTTGAGGAGACCATGTTCGAAGGTAAACATTATGCATTAGCTTTGCAAATGTTACTTTTCTAGTTTTCCTTGAATTTTTAAAGTTGTTGATATTTTGTTAGACTGTGCAGCTGTACATTACCTCCTTCATATTCATTGATGGCATCAGCCAGCGCATCAATGGACTCGATGTCCAGGTTGTTGGTAGGTTCATCCTGAGAGAAACAAGAGCAAATTGTAAATTCGTAGTTCAGAGTTATTCCTGACATAATTATCATTATAATTATGCAGAGAAATTTTGGCGGAATTGTGAGAAGTTATGAAGCAGTGCTGAAATGTCCGTCTCACCAGGATGATGACATCTGGAGCCCGGCAGGAAAGTTCTGCAAACACCACTCTGGACTTCTGCCCACCTGAAGGGACATAGAAACAGTGTAAGAACAATACTAGTAATTAAACAATACCAGCAAGTATTCAGCCTTGTTGGCCCCCAAGAATCAGTGATGTCAACTGTACGGCGCAGAAAGCTGCAGTGGTTTGGCCATCTGACCCGCCACAACAACCTGGCAAAGACCATCCTACAAGGAACGCTGGAAGGGAAGCGACGGCGAGGTAGACAGAAGAAAGTCTGGCTAGATAATATCAAGGACTGGACATCCCTCACCGTCCCACAACTCCTGACAGCAGCCCAAGACAGGAAGACCTGGCTATATTCCTGCTGCAAAGTCTGCCTTGTCCCCCCAACGACCAGTGTCGGTCATGGGACTAGGTAGGTAGGTAGTAGTAACAACAAATTCATATCCGGATATTAAAAATATCCTGTATAAATATTTCAATTGTTCCTACCAATTCAAAGCATCACAACCCCTTCAGTAAAAAGCCCTTGAAAATATATTGTTTTTATTGCCATCTATTGCAAAATACAAATCATCAGTAGTCCATTGTGAAAGTATAGAAAGAGATACAATGTAGCAGTAAATGCTGAAGTAGTGCTAACATTAAGGGGGGAGGTACAGGAACTTTGGCCATGGAAGCATTTGACAAGCTTTTTAGACTATTTCACACAACCTGGTACATGATGATATTTCCTCCAACACTTACCTGAGAGATCTCGTATAGGGATGGTGTGGGCATAGCTGACCAGTCCAAACCTGCCCAGAGTTTTCCTGGCGTCCTGATACTGCAGGTTGAAGTGTTTCTGTAGGTAGTCTGTAGGGCTGATGTCTACCTCCAGCTGGTCTGCTGAATGCTGGTTGTAGAACCCTACTTTCTGTGGTGCCACAAAAGATAAAGGGTTAAGTATTTCTCGTTCAACATCTACAAGCTTCAACACAGCATTAAACTGCCGCAAAAGAATGGCTACAAATTTAGCCATCTGATTGGATGTGGTTTGACCAATCACATGCCACCATTTCCTAATTACCATAAACACTCCAAGCAACATTCATTTTTCTGCTCCTAAACTGGTAAAAGTTGACAATCATGACTGTTGTCTATGAAATTGTTCCGAATGAAACATGTTATACGTACCAGTCTGTGATTTTTCCTCTGCTCTCCCTGCAGTGGTGGTATTTGTCCTGCCAGCAGTTTGAGGAAGGTACTTTTTCCCACTCCATTTGGGCCAACTATAGACACTACAATTAAAGGCAAACATGTGTAAGAAAACATACATGTAGCACATAATACCATACAAATACTACACATCTATCACTCTACTGTTACCAGTAGTTTCATTCAGTTCTTACAATGTATTTTAGCCTTGCAGATTAACCTGTATGCAAAACAATGAAGAAATCTGTCAAATGAATGCATTCATAAAGCCATTGAGGTCTTACCTCTAGAGGTCATGTCAATACCAAAGTCCACATCCTTGAACAACAAGGGCTGATTCTCATAACCAAATGTGACGGCTGGAGGACGGGGCAATAGCAAAACAGTCATGAGTTATCTGTTATCTATGATTTATATCAAAATACACAATCATACATGTACAATGTATATGTAAGTAGAAAACCAAGTCTTTAACTAGCAACCAATGAAGCAGTGAATGAAGGAAGACATGAGTCTTACAGTGGAGTCCCAGGATGGGTGGACTGAGCTCCGGCGGACTGGGGAAGGTGAACTTGACTTTGTACTCCTTAGGTCTCCTCAGCAGCTCAGTCTGACTGGACGCCGAGTCCTCCAACTCATCTGTCCTCCGCTTGCCTTTAGCCTGCTTACGGGTCAGGATCTCCTTCTGCTTCTTTTCCTACAAATCAAAGATATTTGCAAAGCAACCAACCTTTAAATATACGTACACTGTACTTCTTAAACATTGCATTCCAGCACCATGCTTACAGTATGTTGTACACTAAATGGTATTCAAAATTAACAATAAACAGCAACGTATCAAATACTACTGTAACAATTATGTAATAAGGAAAGCTCACTTACGGCTTGTACTTTGCTTTTGCCTGAAGCTTTCAACTCCCGGATTTTCTTTTCCTGCAACACAAAAGGTTGGTATACATACAATTTCATTAGTTACTCGAAAAGATATATTTATCATTATTATTACAACATCATTATAATGTGAAACACGTCAAGTGCTAGCCAGAAAAAAAGGTAAAGCAGACCTTATGACAAGACTGTATGATACAAGCAGACAAGCACACAAGTTGCAGATAAGGGAAAAATGAAATGAAACAAGAAAAACAGGAATAACAAGAGATCTGAGATCACATACCTCCATGAAATATGGGCTTGACGTGTAAATGTAAATTTCCTCTTTAATTATGCAAATGACCTCCACATTAACATAATTAATGTATCGTGATGTTAACTTTGGATGAATTTACAATTTACACCAAGTAGGAAATTCCCATCATTTACCCATTGAATTTTCGCATTAATTATGCAAATGAGGTCATAATTTGCATTATTGGTATCTGTTGATGTTCCATCTGCCAAAGATTACATACGTTACATGTATTAAAGTACTACAATGTAAAACACTGTAATTAGATAATTTCCTCATTTATTATGCAAATAAAGTCCTCATTTGCATAATTTTCATTAAGTTATGTACATCTCTCTCAGCTACCTACCTACCAAAAACGATGAAAATACATTGTTCCTGTCTGGACCTATTGGCTTTTAAAGATTTTCCCCCGAAAGTCCCCTGCAGTTTCAGAACAAGCTGCTAGGGGGACCAAACCCACACCAATTATTCCTGGCAGGACAATCTATCTGTCACCCAAAAATCAAGATCATAACATGTTCAGGACAAAAGATACAAAAACCGGAAGTTCTGCTGCAGTACCAAGGTCATCCACCAGGAGGCCCATATTTGACCTTGACCTTTGGCTTCCTAAGACCTACCAGCATACCAAATATCATCACAATCCATAAAGGCGTTATGGAGTTATGCTGACTACAAATATGCGGAAACTCAAACACACACACACATAGACGCGCCAAAAACAATACCTCCATTTTCATGGAGGTAACTAGATCTCAGTGCCAAAATTACGTCAACACTGGGTGTCCATCCACCCTAACACTCAAATTTTCCACATCATAGTGCACAGAGGTCGCCTTATTCCCTGAGGAAGAACCTCTCATTAATCAAACCAGGTCGCAAGCCCGGGGCAGCCTCGACACAATCAGACATCTGTTACCCTGTCTGGCAGACTCCTCATTAAACCGGAAGTGCTGCTGCAGTACCAAGGCCATCCACCAGGAGGCCCATATTTGACCTTGACCTTCGCCCCCCTAACACCTACCAGTATACCAAATATCACCACAATCCATAAATGCGTTATGGAGTTATGAAGGTACAAAAAAGCGGAAACACAAACACACACACACAACGACAACAACACACACACACACACACACACACACACACACACACACACACACGCACACAGACGCGCCAAAAACAATACCTTCCATTTCATGGAGGTAATTATTACACACTGTACTATATGACAGGTGCTACAGAAGGGAGGGGTTAGGCAATTGCAAGCAAGCCAGCATGCATCCCACACTGCTGTGCAAGCAAGACCTTCTGCCCTCAGGTGTGAAGAGACAGTGACATCACCCAGGTGTCAGCCATAGTAGTCCGACTCAACAGTTTCATCACCGGAAAGGTCTATCATATTACAGACACATCAGTAAGAATACAGGAACAAGACCTGCAAACTTTACCTGTTTTTCATACTCTTTCAGCAGTTCCTTTGCCTTCTGCTTGTACATTTTCTTGAATTGAGCTGAAAGAAAAACAATCATGATTGAATAATATAATATACCACAAATATCTAAGTTTTGTTTCAAACAATATAAAATCCTTAACATTCTATCCAAAATAAATACAAGGAAAAATGTACAGCAATTGCGACTTAAACTTACTGTAGTTCCCTCTATAGTAGAACAGCTTGCACATATCTGTATGAAAAAAATCAACAGCAATCATGATAATGTCAGACATATAACAAATGTTAAGAAGAACTACAAACATTACTTCTACTCCTAACTATTTAAAAGAAACACACTTTCTTTCATGACATTGTCCAGGCTCCATTGTCATAAATGTTTCACATACATGTAGTAGAATCTGTGTCAATGTGTCAATGAATAAGCACTACCTAGCAATGTAGGTGTGAACTGCAGTTATTAGTGTCCCTCTCACTGCATTACATACCCAGATGAATGATGTCTGTGCACACATTGTCCAGGAAACTCTGGTCGTGGGAAACCACCAGTAGTGTCTTCTTCCATCGCTGTAGATAGCTGGTTGTTAGAATAAAAGAAACAAGATAGTATCATCTCTAATCCTGTGAAATTTTAATTACAAATCTAACTCTGTATTCTGCAGTTCAAAAGCTAGCTGCTAGGGGGTTACACAATGGCTGATAGTCACAAATGGATGACAATTCTTTGAAAGATTTTTTTTTTCAAACTTCAGTTACTACTTCCCAAGGATTACCCACAAAAAAACAGCAACATAAAATTGACTTACACTGCTTCAAGTAATCCTGTTCACAACACACAAACAGCTATGCCAATAAAAATGAAGTAATAGAGTCCTTACTTGTCCAGCCAGATGACAGCGTTGAGGTCGAGATGGTTGGTAGGTTCGTCCAGTAACAGGAGTGTTGGCTCCAGGAACAGGGCCCTGGCCAGAGACACACGCATTCTCCAGCCTCCCGAGAAGTTCTTGGTGGCCCTGCCCTGCATCTCTTTAGTAAAGCCAAGACCCTAAACAAAAAAGAGGTTACAATGCTGATCGTATGATAGTGTGGATATACATGTCAGTGGTCGAAATACTTTTTTTCAGTGCTCTGCAATATTGCAGAAGAGTCAAAATTTTGTTCTGCAATTTGGAAATACTTTCTGCAAATACACAAGACTCTATACTACAATGTTGCAAGTTCATAAGCATGAACTGTTGATTGATATGCAAATTATTGAAGACAAATTTTTGGAAGTCCAAAAGGAAACAAAAGAGAAACAGGTCAAGACAAGGTTGATGTAAATTAGTGAAGAAGCTCCTGTTGTTTCAGAACAGGAGCTTAAGTGTTGTCTGTCCTTGGGGCCAAGAGCACCAAATCCCAAGTGCCAATTTTTCCTGCTGCAAAATTGCAGATTGTATAAATTTTTCTTCTGCAATCTTGAAAATCTATCTGCAGATTGCAGACTGCAGACAGGTATTTCGAACACTGCATGTACACTGTAAAGCTGCCCTGTTTTAGATTATTTTTTACCACAGTATTGCACATTAGTACTCACAGAGAGGATCCTTCTTGCTCTAGCTTCAGCTGAGTCTGCTCCTATAGCTTTCAGGTCATCATATAACTGAAAATGAGAGTAGACTAGAGATTAGCACAAGTCTAACACAGATAGTAGAGTTGTAATTTTGGTTCATCAAAAGAGTAAGAGAGAATTTGAACATCCGTACCTTTTTCAATTGCTCACTGACTTCCTTTCCTGCTTCATTCTGGGCTAATAGTGTCTTTTCCTGTTGGTAAAATAAGAAAAAGTGCAAATGTTTAAGGATGTAACTGTTGTTATAATCTTGGCAACACATGACACCAGTGATTCCTTGAATACAGCAAGCAGCTACTTCATTACTTCTGTACACAATAAAATACTCCTTCTTGTCTCTTGACATGTTTCGTTATCACATGCATTCAAAAATGTCACTTAAGTAATTAACATGCATTTAAGTTTTATGCCATTTTTTAACACCATTGCTGATCTCCACGCCTTAAAATACAGCATGTACCAGTTCCAGTAATTCCAGTCTCTTGGTGTCAGACTTGAGCACGGCATCTACGGCGGAGGTTTCATCAGCGACCACCTCCTGTTCACAGTACAGCACGTCGATGTTTGGCGGGATGGCCAGCGCTCGCGTGGAGATATGTCTCAGTACTGTTGTCTTTCCATGGCTGGGGAGGGACATAGCAGCGTGGTTAAAACATGAAAATTCTAAACACACAAATATTGTAAAAACTTAGATATTCTAATTGCATAAATACCTGGTACTGCAAAACTTTGACATTCTATACACACCAAATGCGCTTCGTCCTAACTGTGTGTGCTGCTTTCGAAAATTCGAATACATGATTTGGATGTTGGCATTGATGTTACTGTGTTTTTTGGTTTAGGGACATCAAATTTTGGCTCATTTTTCATTGAAAGGCGTGTTTTCTTGGGTGGGTATGACATTAAATAAAATACAACACTGTGTAGTCCGCATCACCCTCAATACATGGTATACCCACCCGTTAGGTCCGACCAGTCCGTATCTCCTGCCTGCTGTGATGTGCAGCTGAGCGTTCTCAAAAAGGACCTTCCCCTTGGCTGAGATGGAGAAGTTATCAATCTAAAAAAAGTAGCGAAACAGTTGTGTGTGAGTTACATGTGAGCGGGAGGGAAAGCCATGTATCAAACTAAAGTCTTCAAGGAACGAGAGAAAGTCACCAGGAAAGCCATGTATCAAACTTAAGTCTTCAAGGAACGAGAGAAAGTCACCAGACATTGTTTCATGGTCTAGCACACATAGTTACATAGAGAAAGAACCAATTATGCATATTTGATAGAGCAAGACATTCAAATGAATATATCTAGTAATAGACCACAATAACAAGTTACATAAACTTTCAAACACCACCATAGCAAAATGTTGCAAGCAAATACAGCACAAGTGGAGAGAAGTTTAGAGTACTTGTTTGTTTACCTTGATATCTTGTACGTTTTCCAGTATAGCTCCCTTGGCAGTGGTTTGTTGTTGTGACAGAGTGAACTGGCCCAGGTCAGCTGACTCACGCTCTAACATCTCCTCATATTTCTTGTCAAATTGTTGCTGTGGAAACAAAACCACCAAAAATTGATATTTCAACATGATAATTGATATGAGTATTTTTTAATGATGTATAGTGACAACAGAGACATAGCTTTTTCAAAAGAAAACTCTACATACAAGTTAATGAAACTAGTGTAAAAACTTAATGTTGTTGATATGTTGTTAGCTGAAGGGCAGTTATATTGGCTATACAGATACAGATATGCTTCAACTCACTTTTTTCATCAACTTTTTCCGATCTTTTCTGCTCATCTTCGAGAGGTCTTCTTGTTTCTCTTCTAGAAAAGGAATCGAAAGTTATCATCACAAATTTGGCATGTTGCAGATTCAACCTAAGTAGAAAAGTAAATCATATATATATCACCCTTCTATCACTGTCTCCATGATAGACTAAGGCCACAGCCAGCCACATTTAGTAAATGTCATGCCTTGTACGCTTAAGGCTACCACACTAGCATCACTTATATAACTTCCAAACTAGTTTCACTTGACAACTACATACATGGCTACAATCAAATCACAGGGAAACAAAATTTTTCCAAAATCTAGTGGAAATCAATGTGTGTGTGGATCACATCCTTAAAATCTACTTGCTGTGGCCTAACATCAAAAACAAACAAACAAACATTGACAAACATACCTTCCACTTCCTGCTGTAGACCCTCCTCCCCCATCATATCATACACCTCCTCCTCCTCCTCCTCTTCTGGGGGAGGGCTTTCTGTCTTTCCTTTCTTCTTAGTGTCTTTCTTTTCTTCTGTTTTCTCTTCAGCAGGCTTCAGGGATTTTCACAGAAAGAGTTATCTTACTGATTACTCAAACAATGGCTCTGAACAAGTCAAGTACAACTCATGGAATTTATTAATGACATTACAATCTACATGCATGTCAACAAATAACACGTCAGAGAGTTTACATGCATGTAAGCACATACGTGTATCATGCATGTTTAGAAAGAAACACAGCTATCATGAAAGTGTTAAGGTACATGCATAATCAAAGGCACATATCTCACTAACAGGCATGTCATTTTCCAGTAGAAATGAAATTAGATTTTACTCATGAAGAAATCTGACAGTACACTAGAATGATAATTACAACGTACCGTGTCTAGGAAATCTGTTCCTCCCTCCTCGTCTAACCAAGAGAACTTGTCTTTTTTCTTCTTCTTCTTGTCTTTCTTGTCTTTTTTCCCTGCTTTTTTCTCCACCTCAGGTTCAGCAGGGGCAGGGTTGTTTTGTGTTTCCTGTGTGGTGTCACCACCTCCTGGGAAAAAAATTACAGAATTTTGTCTTTAGTTTCCGAGTTTTCAGCGAGCTCAAGATGGGATGCAAAGCAGTGTGGGTAAGGGGGTAAAGTCTGCCATCTCTGATTGCCTTCTTTTACTTGTACAACAGAGAATGTAGTACGGCTCATAAAAAGAACACAGTTCCAAGAAAGTAGATGCAAGTTCTACCAAAACCTTAATAGAATATTAATAGAGAGTTAAAGTTAGACCTGTAGACTCATCCTCCTTCTTTTCCTCCTTCTTTTCCTCCTTTTCCTCCTTCTTTTCCTCCTTCTTTTCCTCTTTCTTCTTGGGCTCTTCTTTAACAATTTCTTCCTCTTTTTCTTCTTCTTCTTCTTCTTCCTCTTCTGGAGAATCCTCGACCATAAGAGCAGAGAAAGCAGACCCTGCAAAAAATTCATAGAGCTGATTTCAACTTTCAAAACTGCATTACTGGCTTACTTAACCAAACAAAACATACAATTCCAAAAACTAGGCCAGACTGACATCTTTCCTTAATTAACAAAATAACTTTTTTAGTTTTAGCCAATGAGATTGCACTTTAGACCATCCATTTTGACCCTACCTGATGTGGCTGTTGGTTGGTCGTCATCCTCCTCTTCCTCTTCTTCTTCATCACTCACTCCCAGGGATGAGAACTTGTTCAGGGGCATGTCATCATCATCGCTGTCACTGTCCTTCCCTCGTCCCTTCTTCTTTCCACGATTCTTTTTCTTTTTTGTGGGCTGAAACAAAGGAAAACAAACATTCCATTACGAAAAAATAAAAAAAATTGAACATCAACAAAACTACCAGTAAGTCAACATGCCATTATATAATACTGACAATGTATAACACAATGTCATGTACTGTAACACGTCGGCAGAACGTACCGTGCTTGCGTGAAACCCTGATTTTTCATGGATTTCGTTGGATGTTTGGTCAACATTGCATCAGAAGTTTGCCTGTTGCAGAATACATCTTTTCCAACATAAACATTTGGAAACTACAGACGGAATGTTAACCTTATATGCGCTTATACGGGACGTTCTGTCAAAATGCTATGCACAATGTATTATAGGTTTCATGCAGGTGCAGTGCATTCTGCCAGCATGCCATGTACTGTAATGTTATATCAGTAATTTCACCACCTGTGCAGACTGGTCCTCCCCCTGCTCCATCCCCTGGTCTATCCTCAGCTGGTTTATCTCCTCCTCCAGTCCAGGACTGGGGCTGCGGTTACGGCCCTTCTTCCCGCGCCCCTTCTTCCCGCCCTTACCGGACGACTCCGACTCCTGAGTGGCTGTCGAGTCTACAACGTTTTGCAAATGACAATGTTGTTAGACTACACACATTCTAAATAAAAAAAATCTAAATCACAAAACAGATGTCCAATTCTGCAAGTGGACCCCCCAAAATGGTTGTTGATACCAGTCAGGACAAAGCCAAAATTTCCAGATGCTTGCCCCAACCACCCTTTAATATACATTGTATGTGGAAAAGCCTGTTTATATTACAACACAACATACAACATACATGTAGTACTATTATCTTGATACACAGTATGTTTAACAATAATGGTTCAATGATATAATATGCATATAATTTATGTATTTCTAGAACAGTCTTTACATGATAAATTCCTACAGATTTACGAATACATGTAGTCGGTAAATGTGGATAATTACCTGACGGACTGGGGCGTCTATCTCGTCCTTTCTTGCCTTTGTTCCCTTTACCCTTTCCGGACTCTACGTCGGCCCGATCCGGAACGGAATCGTCTTCGTTCATTTTGGACTTGCCTTTCTGCTTCGCCCTCCCACCTTTCCGTTTCTCCGGAATATCATCGTCTTTTTGGTCGTTGTTCAGCCCGTCCTCGGCTATGTCAAGGTTCTGCTTTTTTCTAGGCATGGTCCTCTACCCGTGGGATTCGAACCAGTTCAAAATGTGGCGTATTTTGGAGAGAATCGCACCAGATTGTGGCAGCGTCTGGGAAACAACGTGATCTCCACGGCTCCGCGCGTAGCCCGGCAAAACCGGGGAGATTGCACAATTTCCGGAAGTGACGTCACTGGGAGAATTGCACTACTTACTGAGCTAAGAATTGGGACCCGATATTGGTCGATTTCGCGCGCTGATGCGCGCGCGCGCAAGTGGCCACGCCGTAGCGGCGCTGCGCGCGGGCGCGCATAACGCCCCCTACTAGCGGCGCTGCGCGCAGTTTGTTGGTACGACTACGACTATGGATTTTGTTGGTACGCGAAACCTGCCAGATCGGCCCTTGTCTGCGCGCGCGCGTATAGCGCCACGCAGTAGCGGCGGTGCGCGCACTTTGCCTGGTAAGCCTGGGGAATGTGTTGGCGCGCGCGTAGAGCCGAACCAGGCCTTGGTTGTGCGTGCGCAATTTCTGCCATTTACGATCGGCGTTGCGCGCAGGAATTGTCTGGCGTATTCGTACGTGTTCTGGTGCCTTTGATTTTGTTTATCCTGATATCTTTAATTTTGTATGATGTTTATCTTACGTATCCACACTATACAGTAGATGTCGCTTTTTTTGAAAAGCCAATTTGCCAGCGCATTTTTTCAATTACCCGGCCTTTCCGGCTCAAACTCTCGGACTTGAAACGATGGGGGTGGACAGGGCATCGAACACAAATAACGACACAAAGAATACAAACACGGGTCATGTTTACCCATTAGTAACAGTGAACTTTATTTAGATCAGTAAGTTTACTTGTAATATTTTTTCATTTACGTATTTTGTTTTTCTTTTCACAGTAATATAACTGGAAGAAAGCTGCGATATGTTAGCTATCATGTGCTCTCCGCTCCAACTCTACTCTACTCCAACACTGCTGTGTTTGCTACGTACAAAACAAGCCACGAATACATTCACAATCAATTTCATCAGCCTGTACATACGTTTACATCACAAAAAGTAGCAAAAATAAAGTTTGATCAACGGAAAACTTCAATCAAGTAGCGTACAGACTAGACGTCAGACGCTCGTTATGCACACGATCGTCATGAAACTCGTCGATATATCACAAAGAATCTCTTCGTTGTTACCTTCATACATAATTTTCAGAAACTCCGACTAGCACACGAAAATAATCGTTACTAATGCAACAATAAACTGTTCATTTCAATGTTAAGGACTTTTTAGCTTTCGATGTCCGAAGATTACATGGAAATTTGCAACAGCTGACGGAGCACAATAGCGTTCAGAGGAGGAAACAAAGATGGCGGACGTAGCGTGGGTAGCAGTATCCCGTCATTCAAAGCGGTGTTGTTGTTTTTTTCGTGGCACATTTGGCGTGTTGATGCGGCGATAGCGCCGTGTCGCAGTCGAAATAAATCTCAGAATTTGTACATTGTACAATCAAGCCGAAAACGTTGGGGTGTGCGTTTCAAACAGCCAAGGACGTAATATAACTGATGATGACAACGACGCCACGACATTTTGAGTTTTTCCGGTTGGATTTGAAAAGATGTTTGCTTCGAATTCGTTACATACATGTCGGAAGGGAATATGACTTGAGACTCCGCAAAGTTTGCTTATACACACACAAAAAAAAACAGTTACTCAAGGAACTGGATATGATTTTGGAAACGGTCAAACAACGTCTCTCCATGTAGCACACTACATTTTGTCAGATCACAATATTCCTCCGGATCCGACCATTTTGAGTAAAACCATGGATCCCTTTATGCCTTTTTTAACCATGGAGTTAGAAGGGCTATTACTTAGCCTACCTGGGCAAAAATATGCAAAAAAGCTACTTAAAGTATACTCTAGATACATTTTATTGCTTGCACAGAATAAGGTGGCCTTCTAATATTAACTTCTACATTGGGATTTACGACTCGCTATAACTTCCCTTTACCGTTGAAAATAACAAAATGGCGACAGTGAGGTTGTGACGCTATCCCGTCATCCATTGTGGTTGCTTGATAGAAATCAAGGAGGTTAAAAATCAAAGTGAGAGAAAAAATATTTGTACACATATTTAGCATTCGGTCCTTTAGCTATTAGGAGTCAAAACAGAGAAATGTGCCGCGACCGGAGCCTGCAATGTGAATTTTATCCATGACAAGGTTTGCGCCGGGTATTTTTTTTAGAGAATACAATTCTACCTCTATGGATATACCCGTACCCAGAAAGTTTGATTGAAAGGAAGCTGGCAATTTGGCAAGACTGTCTTATAAAAGTCAGTAAGTTAATTGTTTGCCTTCCCCTAAAGGACTGGGAGAACTATTCGTTGAGAAACTTCACCGAATCACCGAAAATACGGCATGTAGAGTCGGCGACAGATTTATCTTAAAGAGTATATGTAGAGTAGAGTATTACGTATGTAGCATGAATGTCCGCGAGAGTGTGATGGCTGGTCCTTGTAAATTTACGAAGTCATGCATAAGTAGGAGCGCTGCACAAATACTAGTATGAGAATATGTGTGAGTCGGTCAACTATTCGAAGCAACTGCCGCCTCGCCCCCGATAATTTCGTACAAAATATCGGACCAAAGTATTCCTTTATCGGCTCCCTTCATGCCTTAGACTTGTGAATATAGCTAAAGACACATTTTATTACATCTTCAGAATAAGGTGGCGTACTATTACTAGCTTGTACCAAGGACGTTCAACAAGACGGTCCTTGCTTGTACAAAGGGATTTGCAACTTCCC